TTCAATTTCTCCTCCCCCGTTTTTTTCCTTCTTCCTGCTCTGCTCTCTGTCTGTCTGAAGCGTCTGGATCTCATCTCTCGGACATAAATTAAGAAGATTATGGATTTGGTATCGTGGGCGTTCAACTCTATTGATAAGATTTTTTCATCAAAGCGACAAGGTCCTGGGGAACCGGCATGTCCAGCTGAGACTCACGCTGTGGGGTACGTCATGGATTCGTGGGGAGTGTGGCAATCGATGTGCATTACAGTACTGTCTCAAGAAGATGTTGAAGACGTTTACATATTTGGACTTATGATAGCAGGGACTCTGCTTTTTGGCATCGGCGGGGCTCTGTTTTATCGACTTTTGAAGAAGACAGCGGGAGCAGTTTTGGCCATGGAAAAGCTTCCGAGTCAGTGTGAAGGCTTGGTCCTCGCTGTGGGAACTTTAAATCGTTTTGTCTACGAGCTTAACCGTAAGGTGGAGGCGATTGAGAATCGCAGACCACCTGCGGCTTCTGGGACTCATCAGCGTGGTGGGTTCGACCTTGAAGGAGACTCATTGCATGGATCAGTGAAATTAAATTCTACAATTAGGCTTTTTCGGAACCAGAACGCCCAGATGGACTCAAGGCTGAAGAAAAAATCTGTCTGCCTGAAGAAAAACAAATATTAAGCTTATCTAATCTGATTCCCAATGGCCTTGGAGACAGACTGACTATCAAATTTCTCCTGGGACATGAGTACCCAAGGACAAAAGCTTCATCTATAGCTGCCCCCCACCCCCCACCCCCGAGAACTTTCTGTGCAAGCTTATGAGAACTGCTGGCTGAAAACAACATCCTTAGAAACTGTGGCTGATCTGAAAAAACGCTCATGGACAAATCTCAACACCTCGATGTCAAATGCAAATGTAATCATGTTTAAATTGTGCTTGCTGGTAGAGTTTTTTTGATGTCTCAAATCGTGTCCTGATGGACAAGATGTGAAAGATCTTTTTTTGTAATACCACTATCTACCCTCATGTTTCTCCCCCTTTTCCTATCTAAGATTATTATCTGATAAGGATAAAATGGCCGCGCTCTCCTGTAGTTGCAGCTTCGTGCACTCCGCCCATCTTTCGGACGACTGTACGTACATATTCGCGTTGTATCTCGGTGCAATTCCAATAAAGTTTATTCTGATTCTGATTCTGATTCAGAAGAGATTTTGTGCAGGTTTGCACAGGTTTTGAAATTTTATCAAAGATTTACCAAATATGAACCAATATGGTTAAGACTGTGAAGTCTGTATATTTTATATTAGGTTAAGTTTTGCAAATATAACAAATGTTAGAGCAATATGGTTAAAAAAAACTGTGAAGTCTGTATTTTATTTTGAGTTAATGGTTAATATACTATGGTAGGCTGAAGTCTGTTTACTTTTGTATTTATATATTTTGAATTATTTGTCTGTGATGGACTGGAGACCTGTCCAGGTGTCCTCTGTCTCTCGCACAGTGATGGCTGGACATGGGCACCAGTGACCCCCGTGACCCGTAAAGGAAGAAGTGGATAAAGATGATGGATGGATGAATTATTTGCTCCTAGATTTTAATTTTATTTTTTTAATTTTAATTTAATTTTAATTTTTTGAAAAATCCAAGCAACTACGCTAACCTAATACTGGTAATTTAAGTTACATAATTTTATGCACGCCTATATTTGTTCCTATTTTTGGTATAAATATAAAATGATGCAAAAAGATTTGATACAGTAAATAACCTAAAATGATTGTGTTAAATAAATGTTCTATTTGTTTACATTGTTGTTAAATCTTTTCATCTTGTCAGTTACATAAATGAAACAAAATTTAGGACTATTTCAATAGAAAAATTGTTTCTGAATCGAAAAATCAATTTTAAATCGAATCGTGGCACAAAAAAAATCTGAATTGAATCGTCAGACACTTGAGAGATTCGCACCTGTAATAATAATTTAACATTATTTATCTGATGAGCAAACTGCTTTGAGTTTAAGTCATCGCAGAACTCTCATTAGCAGGATTTTGGATTCTGGACACACCTCCAGAATTGGTCCTAAACTGCGGTGCAAATCCAGGCTGAGCAGCGTTGGGGCTGATTAGGAACAGTGCACATAAGCCAAAAGTGAAGATGAGAAAACCCTGAGCTGAAGCACATTTCAAGTCAAAGATGTTTAAAGCTGGCTTTACTTAAAAGTAAAAATCTATCAGTTTAATACATTTTACCTTCTTGAATTGTACAAATGAAAACATTTTTTATTTTTTTTTTCCAAGATGAGGTTCAGGTCCTCCCCCTACTTTCCTCATTTCCCTTTAAAAGCAGTAACCCATCTGTCACTTCCATCATTGGCCGGTCTGCATGTGTGCAGTGATTTTTCACTGGGGGGGCAGGGTGTGTACAGACATTATGAAAGTTTATTGCTTTTCAGAGTGCACAGATAATTCTTGTCCTTCCAAGTAACATCAAAATAATGTCTGCGGGGGAACCTTTCATTAAAACAGCATGGAACATGTGTGATCATACATGAGTTCAAGCTGAAGAAGAAGGCCAGGAATCTCTGTGTGGATGTTCAAGGTGGCGAGGCCTAACACTCCTCCTCACAGTGAGAAAATATGACCTGAGGGACTTCTGTCAGCACCCCTGAGATCACATGTGACAGGAGAAACATCTCCAAATAAATCTCCATCTTTATGGCTCCTCTCTGTCGCTCCTTCATTTCTCCCCTTTGCTTAACGTGCACCATTCTCTGAAAGAGATAAAAATAAGTCACGTTTACTGTCTGTAGAGTCTCTGTTGTTTGCTGTGATGGCTGCTTGAAAAGGTCTGCTCCAAATTTAGAATTTGCAATAAAAGCAGCCCATTTTGAAAAGGAATATTCCTCTCTTCCTTGTGGGAATTTTGTTTATTTTTATGAAATAAAGATGGGCCAAGAATTTGTCTTTGAGAGGATAGAGAATATTCTCAAACTACTGTGGCATCTTTACAGGAAAACCCTGATGTTGTGACCACCAGATGTCCCTGAAAACCTTTATAGCGATCAACTTCAAAAATAAGTCTTATGATTTAATGTTTCCTACGTGTGTATGAAAGAACTAGTCCATTCATATTATGGCCAGTCTGAAAAACTCCAACTGAACCACATTGCAGGTTGCTAGAGTAAAAATTAACGGGAGAAACATGTTAATTTGTGAAGGCTTCAGAACTAGTGCAGTAAATTTTAAATAACAGTTACAATACCAAATTACTTGGTAAAATGACAAATGATGATTTTCCACTGCGTGTGCGACACTGCATGCTGCGCGACACAGTAAACCACAGATAGACAATAAACTTGTTATTAAAGGATTTACTTCACGCCCTTTTTACAACGCTTCAAGGCGCCTTCAGGTGCACCTCGGACATTACCACAGTAGTCTTCTCGTTAATGCGAAGCAAACATACCTGAATGTGATTTTATTAGTTTTACATTTCATATCACGTATCGTTCTGACATCTTTGCTGTTTGTTTTCTAATTTGTATCACAGCTTCTTTGCTTCTTTAAAATCTTGTGACTGTGTCTTGTGGTGTTTTACTTGTGAGTAAACAGAGCACTTTATTGTTCCTATATATCTAACAAGTAAACGCACATCTTTCTAAAACACAATTTAAATCAATGTTTAAGAAATTGTGTTGATTTCTCTGTCGAGCTAGAATTCAACAAGGTTTTGCTTCTTTTTTTTTTTTTTTTAACAGTCTTTTACAATTTTACCTAACTATGACTAGTAGCAGTTTTTCAGCGACAGATAAAACATTATATTTTGGTGTAATTTGGCTCTGGACGTTCGTGTATTTAATTCCCGGGTGCACGTGAAGTGCTCATTCTCCCTCCCCCTCCCTAGTTCCTCCGCTTGTTCCAGGTTCCAGCAGCAGTACGAGCATGGCGCTCTGAGCGGCTGCAGTTTTGCTGCCTTCTCTTCGAGTTTCCTTTATGATATGTTTTTACTTTGCTGTCTAAAGGAGGTATGATTATTCCTTACATTGTTCACCATTAAATAAAACTCATGTCGGCAAGACGGACGGTATTCACACGCGTAATACTCACAGAAAAGTGTCGAGAATATTTGGGGTAGGTTGCTAACTTAACGCTAGCAAGAAGGTAAAAAAAAAAAAAAATAGGGAGAAACGGAGTAACAAGAAGTCCTGCTTTGAAGCAGGTAAGCTAAACTGTAGGCTATAATTTTTAAACGCTTAGAAGTGTCTTATATAAGTTAGCTTTTGTAAGTTGTTAAAGTTGTTTAAAAAACTCGTTTTTATTTAAAAGATGGCATTAATCTGTTAAATGTGCTATTCGCTAGCAAACTACTTTGCAATTTTCTTTCTTATCAGAGAAAAGTTCACATCTAAAAACAAAGCTGTGTAAGTGTTATGCAATTTGGCTTATTCCTGAGTAACGTTACCAGCTTCAGATGTGTGTGTTTTTACCTTTGTTTTTAAGACAAGTCAGTCTTTTGTTCTTTAGTTTACTTTGTTAGCATATGTATGTTGATCATAGTGTGGATATTTTTCTGTGTAAATGTACTCGAGATAAAAAAAACAACAGTTTTTCTCGCATGCAGCTTCACTTCAGGCTTCATCTCATGGAGTTGACCATTTAAAGACAGATCACATTTATCAAGTGGAATTATCCCGTTAAGTAAATTACATTATATTGAATCTCTTACGTAAAGCTTAAAGAAAGATCAGTATTTTCTGGTGTTATTTTGTCATTCTAATAAATGTGCCTAAGGTTAACCTTGACACAACACCACACGATTTCAGCCATCTGTAATGTCTGCAGATACTTTGACCTATTTCAGTACACAGTTGATTCATTTGCTTCTTTTGACTTTTTTTTTGTAGCTGATGAAAATGCCATGGCTATAGCTGAGGCATGGGAGTGACGTGACAGAACTTGCTGTGCATCTGAACATAAACCTCATCAGCATCATGGTTTTCTGAAGTTAGACAACATCGGAGGATGGATGAATCAGTGCTGCTGGATTTGCTGGAGTGTCCCGTGTGCCTGGAGCGTCTGGACGCCTCTGCAAAGGTTCTCCCCTGTCAGCACACCTTCTGCCGCAGATGTCTTCAAGGCATCCTAGGCTCCCGCGGTGAGCTGCGCTGCCCAGAGTGCCGGACTTTGGTGGAGTGTGCCGTGGATGAACTCCCCAGCAACATCCTGCTTGTGCGCCTGCTGGATGGCATCAAGCAGAGACCTCGGAGGGCTGGCTCTGGGGCTGGAGTCTGCACAAATGGTACATCCGGAGCCATGGCCAGGGCACATGGAAGTGGGACAAGGGAACAGGGCGCTCCGGCGACTCAACCTCAGCGTGCCCAAGCTAAGAGCACCGCTGTCCGGGTTAGTATGCTGACTGACTTACCATGTATTAGTAAGCCTAAATCTGCCTTTCCCATTGTTGGGGTTAAGCTGAAACAAAACAGAGAAAATCTGTGGATTAAAACACAGCATGTCACCTCTCTAATCTTTGCTACAGATTGTTGGTTATCATGGTGTTCTTTAAGCCAGCCAGTTGACTAGCAGCCCAACACAACCGCTGGCACAGATTTAGAGCAGTCAGTAGTTTAGCCACACAAATTCCTTTTGCTGAATTAATGGCAGGTAGGCCTTTCCTGCAAACTTGCTCTCATTAGCAGCCTTTTAGTTACTTCCCTGCTTGACTGTGTGTACATTTCAGAGTAGGTCAAGGAGGTGAGCGTTTTATCTAAACTAACTACTAACTAAACTTTTAAAGTATACTTTAAATGAACATAATGTTGATAATAACTTCTTTTTCTTTGTAGATGAAATCAGGTCTTTTAATTTTAGTCAGTGCCATTTTTGTACCTTTTTAGTTTAACAAAATGGCTATTTTTCTACTTTTTGTGTGAAAGTTGAATATTTGTCTCATTATTCATGCCATGCATAAGTTAAACTCTAAAAAAAAAAACTTGCTAGAGGAGCTATTTTCACTTATTTTCTCAGACTCTTTTTTGTGTAAAACAAGTGTGTGTGATATGGTAGCATTTTGTTTAAATATTAGGCCAATTATATTGACTTTATTCCTGAAATATAAGATTCCTTAAGAATTCAAGCAGTAATTTTACCAAAATCACATTTAATGCGAGCAGTGGGGACAACAAGGAAAAACCTGTGGGCCGCTCTTTGAGCCGCTTTGGTCTCAACGAAGAAAAGATTGGATAGATGAAAAGATGTCAAGGTGCTGTGCAAAATCATTGGAATGTCAAAGAGCTGATAATGTATCTGCCTCGCCATGCAGGTATGAAGATCACAGATTTTTCTGTAAATTTCTACTGAGGGACCTGCCTCATTTGCCAAAATATCACTTCAGAGGATTTGTGCTCATTTCAAAGCTTTTTGTGCGGTTTGGAATTCCCCTACTAAACGGCTGTTTGTTGGAAATTTAAAAAGATTATCATTTGAAACTCTGCCCTTATTTTACACGTGTACCACTCACCCATCGTAAGAGCAATTGTTGAAGTGTGTAAAATGGCCTGTTCCCAAGATAAATGCTACTTTTCTTGAATTTTTAAGAAGTACGGTATGTAAACCTCTCGTGTCTGTTCTGCAGTCTGAAGGCATTCTGTTGATGACAGAGCAAGAAAAGACATGGCGGTGCAGGTGTAACTTTTTGGGAACATAAAAGGCTGAGATCAAAGCTCCTACAGATTGCTTGGTCTGATCTCTGGTCAGTGCTCTTTGGGGACTGAACGCTTCACTGCTCCTTGGGTGACACCCTCAGTGCCATTTCTTTTTTGTTCTTCCTCTGTCCCATTATTGTGGGGTTACCTTTTAAAGCTTGGCTGCTCCTCTGGTACTTTTCCTCTGTTAAAGCAGAGCTCCACCTCCTATCCTTGTACATCCAGATAATGCTGGGAGGGCAGAACGATAGGGACTGGCTGACAGATGCACAACGGGGTTTTGTTTCGGCACCCCTCTGATCCTACAAACGGGCCAACGTAAAATAGCCAAGAGAGATTTTGTGCATGTAGAAGGTCATCAGTAACATAAACTGTTGAGTGTTAAATGAAGGTGTTGAGACCAAAAGGGACAAATGTTCAGAAGGTAACCTTGTTTGGTTGGTTCCCATTATTCCCAGGGTTACAGCATGTGTTTGACACAAAATCCTGTTGTTTCTTTTGTGAAACGGTATCAAAAGGCATATCTTAGTGCTATGGTTGTCTGTGACTCAGCTCCAGCAGCACTCTGTTTCATGGATGTTTTGTCTGTTAACTCATAAACAAATAATTCTCCCCACAGATTGAAAATGAATAGTTCAGTGGTATTTATGCGTGAGAGTGAGTAATGCTGTCAGGAAGTCAGAGGTCGGAGTTCAAGAGTCACTACAGGATAGGGTCACAGTCAGCAGGGGAAATGGGAAGGGAAGTGGAGATCTGAGTGGATGTCCTCAAATTTGATTGAATCTCTGGAGAGTTGGAGCTGTCCACAAAAAAAAAAGGTTATTATATCTTTGTATTGATTAAATTCTTGGCATTACTAGTTAAATAGTTGAGAACATGTTTTGATGAAGAACTAATAATGCTTATGATGAAGATTTAAGTTTGTCATTATGAGCTTTGGTGATGTGCAATGAGACACTGTTGCTTTTTAACCCTTTAAAGGTATTGGTTGTCTCTACTTTCTTAATGTTGTCATGCTTTTTATTCTTTAATCAAAACTATCCCCCTGCTTACTTAAAATCTTTTTCCTCTGCTATTTTTTCTTCATGTGTCATCTATAAAGGAGGTTGTGCTTTCCTCAAGACACTAAAGATGTTTTTTTCCCAGATATTTTTGGAATAACATCATGACAAGTTCGGGCTATTTTCTTTAGAGGGAAAATAAGTTTGTTTTTACGTTCATCATGCAAAGCCATTGCATAAAAAATCCTGTGCACCTCCTGTGTCTGAGGTCGATGAGTAATGCTGTCTCTACTTGATGACACCATGTTGTTATTCAAGCCTTAACTTTTTTCCGGTGTCCTGACCTCTGCCTGCATGACAGAACACCGTCATTACACCCTTGCACTACCCACACACTGGTAAACACACTTGTTGCTTTTCATGGACACTTTTTTCTGGAGGCCTTGGGTCTATTCATTCCAACTCTCAACACACTTGCACTTTTCTCTTGCCTCCCCTGTATTTCCCACAGAAGTCTAGAAAAGAGCTGAAAATCTCTGGACAAAACATGCAGGGATTTTTGGAGTCACTTGTAAATTTCACTTACAAGCCACTAACACTACCTGTATTTTTTTCTCATTTTTATCATGTACCTTTTCCTTCTTTGCTAACTAAATCCAGGCTGGAGCCTTTTAAAGGAATGAGATTAATGTTTATTAGACACCAAGTCGGCACTGCTCCCTGTTCTCCTCTTACTGCTGTCTACTGACTTTGATTCTAAGGAAACAAAATACTTGAAACAACCTTTGTGTCAGCAGTTTTGTTATTTTCACAACCCTTTCTAATGCAGTATAATACAGCATAATCTTATAGGTAGTTGATGATGTATCAGCTTTTAATTAAAACACAATGTACATTATATTTCAGTTCATTTTACATCATCCTGTACAGGTTCACAAAAGATTATAGTGTTCGGTCATACTTTAGCATAAGGACAGTTTTCTTGTATCACAGTCAAATCTTGTTAATGACTTCATGAGAAATCTTGTGGGATGTGTTAGCTCTCAAAGTACCGGTATATGTTGAGGATATCTTGTCAACTACTACCGTACCAAAACTGAGCTTGAAATTTGTAAAATCACCTGAGTTATAGCCATTTGTCTGTTTACGTTTCATTAGCTGTAGAGGCCATCTTAAATTGGATTGACTCCAAAAGTTAATCAGTTGTAGATGTACACCATAATTTCTTTTGAAAGTTTCATTTAGGGCTTGACAATAATTCGATATCGATATGTCACAGTATACTTTTATTCAATAATGGTGATGAGTTTTAAGCACATTTTCAATATTTTGATATGATTACAGCATTTCACTGACACATTTTTTTTTCTGTTCGGGTTGAAGCGGCTGCTTCAGTTTCAACCCGGACAGAAAAAAAAAACCCACAACGTAAGTGCGTGGTGACGTAGATGTTACGCAGCGCTTGAGTCCAGAATGTGTTAGCGGTAGCAGGCTAGGCTAGGCTAATCTCCAATGCACGTTAAGTTTTTGCTTCAAAATTAGTGTCCATGACCATCAGAATGTGACAGAACAGGCTTTCACAAGCAAAGATAAAGCAAATGACATAATTGATAAGAGAGAAACGACTAATTTGGCTGTGTGGAAGTGGTTCGGCTTTCTAAGATCCGATAAACTGCAGGTTTCAGTGTGCTGCAAAAATGTGCCTGAGAGTCGTTCCAACTAGCGGTGGGAACACATCTAACTTGTTTCACCTGAAGAGTTTCCACTCGATAGAATATGTCACAAGATGAAGCACAATAAAGTTTGAACCAACGTGTCCCTGAAACAACACCGCCAACTGTATCAAAAGAGAAACCCATGCAGCAAACGCAGCAGTTTGCTGCATGGGTTGTTAGGTTATGTTGTTGTTCAAAGTTAAAACTATTAATATTGACAAAGTTGAGAGTTTTATGTTTATTTGACGGTGATTTCAAAATTTTTTGAAGGCTAAATACAAATAAAAGTGAAAATTAATTTATTTGTCCAGTTTGTCCAGTTTTTCTGAGGCTTTTATATTGTTCATATCGATATTGAATTATATCGTTATCGACCGAAATTAAGAAATATATTGTGATAAAAGTTTTGGCCATATTTTAGATATTTTCTAACAAACAGACATAGCTTAGTAAGCTTGTTTCACATCCTTTACCATGAATAGGATGTTTTGAAACAGACTCAGGTAATAATGTGGTTAGTTATACTGCTGTAGATGTATTTTTTCCACGTACTGTACAGTTTTACTTAATGCCTAAGGAGACATTCAGTCGACACAGCCATGGTTAATGGGCTGTTGCTGTTTCTTCATTGTTGGGGTTTTCTGCTCTTTAAGTGAAGCCTATGTGGCTGTTTTTGTCTTTTAGGCCTCACAAGATTTTCCAGGCCAGACATACAGAGCACAAGACTTTTGTTCTGTCTCTTTTTTCCCAGACAGAGGGGGATGTTTTGTGTTAGCATTGTTGAGGAATTCCAAGAACAGTTTCAGCTCAATGTTTCTTTTCCAAATAGTGGACTTGTCTTGTCTTGTCCACCCTACCAGCTCTTA